ATACAGCCACAAAAATAAAAGGATACGCATAAAGATGCCTGCAAATCTATAGTAAATGATGTGCACAGTAGTTTTTTTTTCACAAACATCTTTATAATAATATGGTAGATGTTATTGGAAAGAAGTGTCACCTGCAATCTGGAGTCTGTAACATCAACATGTTGGTCCAGATTATTCTGCACGCACGACATCAAAAAGACATGAACATTGACATCATAGTTTATTGCAACTAATAAACTGAAGCGGACTTTACTTTCAAGAGATACAAAAGCAGATGTGTTAAAATAAAAAATCAAAACAAGGATACTCACAATCAGTTTAGTATGCAGATCAAGCTCCTCATTGACTGCCAATGCAATATGTTTGGTGCTCATAACTGTCTCCTCCAATTTCTCAAGGCCCTCATCTTGCTCTGCTCAGAGCGTAGATGGGTAAAGATGAAATTTCATTATCAAAGTTGAAGAGCAAGGCTACAGGATAAATAAAGAAAATAAAGTTTAAGAAGAAAGCTGCAGCCACTAGCCTTTTATGATTTGTCTTTGAAGACCAACAATGCCCTGGTTGTCAAGGCCATTTGTTCTATTCATGGCATCAGCAGGCTTGATTTCTGGCCCCAGTAAGCTGTCCCTATTCGCAAAGTTTGACATGTTCAATGTGGAAGCCATCTGGTTTACTTTTGATCTTAAATTTGCAACCATGTCCTTGCGACGATTCATTTCTTTCTCTGTCCTGCATTTGATAAAGAGTAGATCAAGAACCATAGGACGAGAAAAGCTGCAGTATCATGGAATAGTCATAAACAAAGGACCAAGTACTTGGTCCACAAAGCCACCAGCCAATTGATCGAGGGCATTGAATGTAGATTCATTATTCTTCTTTAATTTTTTAATCCCCCTTTCAACTTGCAGAAACAAAATAATAATGTACCCACATTTATCATGAAATTAGATATATAGCAAATTATTTACCAGCAGATTTTGGCTCTTTGAGGCGGCAAGTCCAATATTTTTTTAGAATGATGAACATGTCAATACTCAGTAGCCCCAGTTATGTGAATTATGAAGCAAAAGTGTGAGGAACACAGTTCAAAAATGAAAATTGACGCATGCTCATATGTATCTAGGCATAAGGAATTCCATTTTTAAATTTCACAATGAGATGCATCAGTTTAAGGAGCACAATAAACGCAATTCCAGTTACCTGTCAACTCATATTCAAGCAAAAAAAAAAAAAAAAAAAAAAACAC